GTCACAGCAATGATCATGCCCTCAGCCACTGCCTGCCTCCAGGTCCTGTCCCTACCTAGCTCTACCAGCACAGTTCCTCACACACAGTAGGTGCTCTATACAGATCTGTTGCTTGAGTGACTGAGCGGCTGAATGAATGAATGAATGAATGAATTCATCTTTTCATACAGAGGTATTTTTTGCAAAGCTTCTGGAACTGGGCCTCCAAGCACAGTCAGTGCTGTGGACTCAGAGGACACAAAAGTCCTAGTCCCAGGNGACAGCAACTTGTCTGTTCCCCTTCCCCCAATTCCCCAGCACTATTCCCATCTCCCCAATTACCCAATAAAAATCTTTAAAAAAAAATTTGTTTTTAAATAAAAGTCAGGTCTTTCCCAAAGTCATGATTTTAATTAGCAATGGGATGAATACCAGTGTGGTAAACTGCGTTATGCATCTAACTCCTTACTCTGCCCCACATCGACACCCTTTGCCAGGTGACTGCAGCTCCTCCAGGTCGAGGTAAGTGTCTGTCTATGTCCAAGACCCATCGATGCCTGAACTTGGCCGTGTGACTTGTCTGGTCAGTAGAACGGGATGGAAATGACAGTGTGTCTGTTCCCAGACTGGGTCTTAAGAGGCGTCTGTTCTTCCACTCACCCGCCTTTATGCACTTCCACTACTGCCATGAGGAAACTGTGCCCCAGGTGGGTAGCCAGGCCCTGTTGGTCCCAGAAGTATGAATGAGAAACACACAGAATAAACCCAAACCAAACCTAGGAGCCCAGGCAAGACAGCAGAGCCACCCAGCTGACCTAGAGTGAGAGATGAAAGCTAAAATGAATATCAGGGTTGTTTGTAATGCACTGTTCCTGCTGCGATAGTTGGCTGAAACAATCAGATTTATGTTTCACAAGATCAAAATAGAAAAGGTGTTCCTCATCTTCAGCCAACTGTGATCATGTAGGAAGGTGGCCTGGTGACTCTAAACCTTCTAATTTTATTGAAGAGAAACCTGATAAATAAATAAAAATAAATTTAAATATCTCCTGATATTTAAAGGTAGTCTCCATTTTTAAAGTTTTTTTCTTTTGAAATCAACTTTATTGAGGCATAATTTATATAGAAAAAAAATGTCCCCTAAGTGTACAGCGAAGACTTTTGAAGAATGTACACTTCCCTGTTACTATAACTCCATTCAAGATCTAGAACAATTAACTTGATCCACCACATAAACAAGATGAAGACTAAAAATCATATGATCATATCGATAGATGAAAAAGCATTTGACAAAAATCCAACATTTGTTTTTGATAAAAACTCTCAGCAAAGTGGAGATCACAGGGAACATATCTCAACATAATAAAAGCCCTATATGATAAACCCACAGCTAACATCAGACACAATGGTTAAAAGTTGCAAGCTTTTTCTTTAATATCAGGAAAAAGGCAAGGATGTGCACTTTCATCCCTTTTATTCGACATTGTATTAGAAGTCCCAGCCACAGCAATCAGACAAGAAAATAAATAAATGGCATCAAAATTGAAAAGGAAGAAGTAAAACTGTCATTATTTGCAGATGGCATAATATTATAGAGAGAGAACTCTAAAGATTCCACCAAAAAGACTATTAGAACTGATAAATGAATTTAGTAAAGTAGCAGGATAAAAATTAACATTCAGAAATCAGTTGCATTTTATACGCCAATAACAAACTATGGAAAAGATAAATTAAGAAAACAATCCCACTTACAACTGCATCAAAAAGAATAAAATACCTAGGAATAAATTTAACCAAAGAGGTAAAAGACCTGTACTCAGAAAACTATAAGACACTGAAGAAAGAAATTGAAATAGATACAAATAAACGGAAGGCTATACCATGCTCATGGAGAGGCAGAATTAATATCATTAAAATGTCCATACTACCCAAAGCAATCTACAGATTCAATGCAATTCCTATCAAAATACCAATGGTATTTTTTACAGAACTAGCACAAATAATCCTAAAATTTAATGTGGAACCACAAAAGGCCCTGAATAGCCAAAACAGTCTTGAGAAAGAAGAACAAAGTGGGAGGATCATGCTACCTGATATAAAACAATATTACAAGGCGACAGTAATCAAAACAACATGGTACTGACATAAAAACAGACACATAGATCAATGGAACAGAATAGAGAGCCCAGAAATAAACCCATGCCTATATGGTAATTTAATGTATGACAAAGGAGGCAAAAATATGCAAGGGGGTAGAGACAGCTTATTTAATAAATGGTGTGGGAAAATTGGACATACACAAGCAAAAAAATGAAACTGGACCACCTTCTTACACCATATACAAGTATAAACTCAAATTGGATTCAAGACTTAAATGTAAGGCCCAAAACCATAAAACTCCTAGAAGAAAATGTTGGCAGTAAACTCTTAGTAGTGGGTTTTGTGTTTGTTTGTTTTTTTGATATGCCTCCTCAGGCAAGGAAAACAGAAGAAAATATAAATAAATAAATGAGACTACATCAAACTAAAAAGTTTTTGCACAGTGAAGAAAACCATCAACAAAACAAAAAGACAATCTACTGAATGGCAGAAGATATTTGCCAATGATACATCCAATAAGGGGTTAATATGCAAAATATATAAGGAACTCATACAACTTAACACCAAAAAACCAAACAATCCCGAAAAAAAATAATCCAATTGAAAAATGGTCAGAGAGGACATTTCCCCAAAGAGGACATACAGTTGGCCAATAGACATATGAAAAGAGGCTCAACATCACTAATCATCAGGGATATGCAAATAAAAACCACAATGAGATATCAGCTCATACCTGTCAGAATGGCCATCATCAATAAATCAACAAACAGGGCCAGCCGAGTGGCTCGCTGGTTAAGAGTTGGCTTGGGATGCCAGCTCTAAGCAGCAGGGCACCGGTTCGGATCCCCAACATGGGCCAGTGAAGTGACGTCCTCCACAACTAGACTGAAGAACAAAAGGACAGCAACTTGTCTGTTCCCCTTCCCCGATTCACCAACACTGTTCTCCTCCCCCAATTCCCCAATAAAATCTTAAAAAAAATAAATTAAATAAATCAACAAACAACAAGTGTTGGAGAGGCTATGGAGAAAAAGGAACCCTTGTGCAATGTTGGTGGGATTGCAAATTGGTGCAGCCACTATGGAAAACAGTATGGAGGTTCCTTAAAAAATTAAAAATGGAACTACCTTATGACCCAAGCAATTCCACTTCTGGGTATTTACCTGAAAAAAATCCAAAACACTAATTTAAAAAGATATGTGCACCCCTATGTTCATTGCAGCATTATTTACAATAGCCAAGATATGGAAGTAACCTGTGTCCATCAATAGACGAATGGATACAGAAGGTGTGAGGTGTGATATATATATATATACATATATATATATATAAAATGGAATATTACTTGGCCATAGAAAGAATGAAATCTTGCCATGTGGGATAGCATGGATGGACACAGAGGGTATTATGCNCTCTCTCTCTCTCTCTCTCTCTCTCTCTCTCTCTCTCTCTCTCTCTCTCTCTCTGTTAGTGCGTGTGACAAAACTGCTATCACAAAGGTTCGAAGAAAAAAATAAACTGACGGCAATGGAAATTTTAATACTAGAAAAATGTCAAGAAAGCAAACATGGGTTTCAATGAGACACTGAGCCTGACAGCTCATGGAAAAACGCTTGAAACTATCAAAACACAAAAACCCCCCTTGTGAAGGGAACACTAGCACCTGCTTATGAAACTCATCAAATTCAAAACATGCCTCAGTGGACTGTGTTTTTGTGCCCAAGTCAAAAGTCGGGCCGCGGCAAGGCTCGCCAAGGGTCCTGGGGAGAGGGAGGCCAGGGGCCATGGCCTGGCCCAGGGCTGACCACTGGGCTCCTGGGTGGGCATGGGGTGCCAGACCAAGCTTGCGGGGAGGAAGGAAGAGGGGACAGGACTGAGCCCTCTACAGACAAAACCAAAATCTCAAGGACCAGTGCCTGAGTCTGGCAATGTCACTTATCGGGCTGTGTGGCCCTGGGCCCGTTATCTGCCTCCTCACCGCCCATCTCCCCTGGGGCTCCTGGCTCCGGGAGACCCTCCAGGGGAGCCTGCCTGGAAACCAGAAAGGGAAGCTCATTGGTGTTTGCTCCTTCCCCGGTCGTCAGGGCCCTGCACACACAGGCCTCGCCCTGCCTTGAAAGGGGCTGCACAGCAGAGGAGGCACTTGGCAGAAGATGGCTGGGGCCCCATCCCCACCCTCACCCCCGGGTGAGAGTTGGAAGAGATCTGCTGCCTGGGCTGGTGGGCAGGGCCAGGGGCTGCCTGGGGGAGTCACCCTAGAGGCTGGGGAGGGATCAGGAAGCAAGGACCCGACCAGGGAGGGATTCAGAACAACCCAGAACTCAGGGAGGCCTGGGGTTTCTGGTGAGGAACAAGGTCCCAGACACAGGCCAGTCAGCAAACAGCAGCCACAGCTCCCTGAGCACCTGTCGTGAGCAGGCACTCTGCATGGTGCCTCGCAGGCCCCATCTCAACTGATCCACACACCCACCTTCTGAAGTAGGTCCTACTGTCCCCATTTCACAGATGAGGAAACTGAGACACAGGAATTAAGTAACTCACTCAAAGTCGTGCAGCTTGGAAGTAGTAGAACCAGCCCTATCAGCCTGCCCTACTGACCCCTATGCCCCTCAGTGGCCGGAGAGAGGGTGTGGGGAGAGGGGTAGGGAGGCTGGAAGGAGGGAGAGAGAGAAGAGAGGAAGGAATGAAAGGCAAAGCGAATTGTTAAACCTTCACGCCAGCACTCCATCCACATGCTGTTCAGGGCATGTCACGGCTTCCACTCACATTAGATGCCCGTTACAGATGAGGTTGCAGAGAGAGACAGGGCAGCTTGTGCGAAGCCACACAGAGGGGGCCCCGAGGGAGCCCTAAGCCCAGGGCCCACAGCTGCTGTGTGTCCGTGTGGCTCGAGCAGCCCCTCTGGACATCTGGACACTTACCCACGGGGTCCAGCTTGGGCCGGAAGGTCTGGACTGGGTAGCACAGGTGGAGCTCTAAAACGACATCAGGAATGACATCAGGAGGAGGACTGGAGATGCCAGCCTCAGAGGGCAGGGCAGGGCAGGACCCAGGCCAGGCTAGCCCAGAGCACCCGGCTCTCCCCAAGGCCCCAAGGGCACCTCCACTCACTTTGCCGAATCCACTTCCAGCAGGCCCTCCGGTGGCACAGGAGGAAGGAGCTGGAAACAGCGACCACCACCAGCGCCATGATCAACCAGAGAAGCGTGGGTCCTGGAACACAGAGGTGGCCCTTCACTCTCTGCCCTGACGCTGGTGGCCCCCAAAGTCCACATGAGAGAGCCAGGGGCCCTGCTGCGACCACACAGGACAGCGCTTGTCTCCATGTGGCCGCCAGGAGCCGGCCCTTTCCCAAGCCAGGACTGAAATCCAGGCCCTGTCTCTATCTGGTCCAATCCTTACCCACCTGCCCTCCCTCCCTTGGCTCCAGGGAGCCCACCAGGTGGTTTCATAGTAGAGAAAAGAACAAACCATTTCTAGAGGGTGAGGAACTGAGGCGTCAAGGAACCAGAATGAAGAAGAAATTGAGGTCCAAAGGGACAAAGTCTGGGGGACTGTGGAGCAGGGCACGTGGGACATGCAGCCCAGGGCAGCTGGCAGGCAGAGGGCGAAGCGGTGACTCTGCTAAAGCCCCCAGCCTCCCGCCTAGACCAGACGCTCCATGAGGCAGGCGTGGGGTCTACTCCGCACACAAACACACTCAGCAAGTGTTCCCTGGATGAGGGACTCAACAGCCCTATGCCAAGGGCACCGTTACCATCTCCATTTTACAAACGAGGGAACCTGAGGCTCTCAAAGATTAAGCAACTCAGTCAAAATCACCCTGAGAGTAAACGGCAGAATCAAGGCTTGGGCCAGGCCAGGGAGACGCCAGCGCCCACGCGCTGAACCGCTCTCGGGTTATGTTTCTTCATGTCTTAGTACTCGCCTCCTTTTTTCTTGGGTTGCTTATGGAGAGTGTGTCACTCGTTACCGTTTTTAGTGCATTTTCAGATGTTAAAAGGTTGTATGTGCCAGATAAGTACTTCTCAAACTTAATGTGCAGATGAGTTTCCTGGGGAGCACGTTAAAATGCAGACTCTGATTCAGTGGGGCCGGGGTGGGGCTCATAATGTGTTTTTCTAACAAGTTGCTGATGCTGCAACTCCAGGACCACACTTTGAGAACTAAGGGCCTGAGAACTACCGCCACCTAGTGTCCAAGGCTAGACCCGCAGGTTCTAAAAGGAAGGGCACTTAAGAGCGAACGGCCTACGGGGAGCTGGGATTGCTGCGAGCTACATACCACCCTGCATGGTACGTGCTGGTACAGTTTTACACGCGAGCAACGTGGGGCTCAAAGGCATTAAGAAACTAGTCAACGTCATGAAATCATTCACCAAGTATTTTCTGAGTAGCAATTACTGGCCATGGGGAGGAAGCTGTGAATGAAATCCTTACTCACAAGAATTCAGGAATAATCATTAGCAAGCGAAAGTGCCACAGTTCCTGCCCAAGAAACCAGCAACCTGGGGTCCACCTTGGTCCCCCCCACCCAGTGGATGCCATCGCCTGGGCATAGCCTCCCTCCTTCTGGCCCCCTGGGAGGAAGGCCCTGTCAGGGTGGGGGTGGGGTGGAGATCATTACCAGAAACCAGAATGGGCCTTCCCATGGAAGAGAAAGAGATGGGAGCACTTGTTGAGATGGAGGCGTCTCCCAGGGCATGGGTGACGCCCTCTCCGTGCCCCTTTCTGGTCTCGGAGTCTGTGAGGGCGGTGCTGCCAGGAGAGAAGCAAGAGGTACGACTGAATGGAGAAGGGAGCAGGGAATTGTGTGCTCAGGAATAATTCCCCTCCCTATAGGTGGTATCGATGGGGCCTGAGTCCCCAGAGCTTCTACCCACAGTCTCTGCCAGCACTCTGAGGGCATAGACTGCATTTCTAGGCTTTCTGGCTTTCCAGTGGTGCCAGCACAGAGCTGGGCACACATTCCCCAAAATGACTTGCAGGCTTGGCACACAAATCCAACCCAGGCCTCACTTCCACCCCAGCCCAGCTGCCCCCACAAGGGGCCAGAGTGTCACCTGGAGGGTGCCTTGCTGTCCTCTGGGTTGGTGTTGCAGTTAAGGTGGGTCCCCGTGGAAGACGGCTCAAAGGCGGTGTCCTTCTCAGCTGTACCTGCAGGGAGTGGTCTTAAGAGTCAATGCCAAGGAGCCTTTCCCAGCAGAGACTGGTGACTTCCAGGGAGGCAGGTGGCTGGGCCAGAAGGACTTGCAGCCGGGCAGACCCAGGTTTGAGTCCTGGGTCTAGCTCCTCCCTTCCTCTCTCCATCCCTTCCCCCATGCAACAGCTCCTGATTGAGCACCTACTACGCACCGGGGACTATGCTGGGAGCCGGGACTAGCAAGTGAAATACACAAGATCCCCACCCTCGGGGGCTCACAGGCGGATGGGGTTCACAGGTGTGACTCAGGTGTCACACTAGGGCACATGGGGTCCCGAAACAGGGGACTCCATCTTGCCTGAATGTGGAAGCTTCCCTGAGGAGGGGATTGCTGGGATGTGAGTGAGGGTGGGGAGACTGGGGGAAGGCCAGAGAGGCTGGGGTGCGGCCACATCAAAACAGTCGGGTCTCTTGTACACACTTGTTCATAGCAGTCAAAGAAGTACAAATAGCCTAAGTGGCCATCAACTGGTAAACGGATAAACAAAACGTAGTATATCTGTACACTGAAATATTGTTTGACAGTAAAAGGAACAAAGTATTAATGATACATGCTACAGCAAAGATGAACATCAAAAGTGCTATGCTCAGGGAAAAAAAGCCCGACACAGAAGAACACATATTCTGAAAATGTCCCAGAAATGCAAATCTAGAGGGACAGAAAGTAGATTAGTGGTTGTCTGGGCTGGGGTTGGGCAGGGGGTTGACTACTAAAAGGCACGAGATTCCTTAGATCAGCGGTTCTCAACCTGTGGGTCGTGACCCCTTTGGGGGTCGAACGACCCTTTCACAGGGGTCGCCTAAGACCATCAGAAAACAAAAAGATATTTACATGACGATTCATAACAGTAGCAAAATTACAGTTATAGAGTAGCAACGAAAATCATTTGATGGTTGGAGGTCACCACAACATGAGGAACCTGTATTAAGGGGTCGCGGCATTAGGAAAGTTGAGAACCGCTGCCTTAGATCTTGCTGTGAAACTTTTATTTAAAAACTAAAAGGACAAAACGAGAGGCAACAAGCGTTTATTTAAGGCCCAAAAGAGTAGCTATTTGGGAAGCGCTGATTCAGGCGGAAACCCAAACAGTGTTTCAATTAGGAGGCAAAGGCAAGGGGTATTTATGATAAAGGAAAGGGGGACCATTACCTCAATAGAAAGAATATTACAGCAATAGAATATTAATGACATCAACAGAAGGAAGGCATTTCTATAAGCGCAGATAAAATAACAGTGATGTTAATTCTAAAGAATGTTTTAATTTTCAGTCCGGTAGTCATAATATCTGCTTTCTTATTATCTTTGCAAACAGCTCTTTGGGACATACTGTTGCTTTAAGCCCAGTCTAAAGGTTATTTTGCCTGGTTTTAACATTCCAAAGGTTTGAGGCATAAGATATGCAAGGCCGTTCCTCTTGGATGGCAGCTCTGACCCCATCGTTGTTGCATTAGATCTATCGGAGTAACATTGGTTAATAACATTATATAAGTTTCAGGTGCACTATTCTATATTACAACATCTGTATTTTGTATTGTGTGCTCACCACCCAAAGTCTCGTCTCCTTCCGTCACCATATATTTGACTTCCTTTACCCTCTTCATCTTCCCCCCTCCCCCTTTCCTCTCTAATAACCACCATACCGTTGCCTGTGAATATGAGTTTGTTTGGTTGGCTGGTTGGTTGGTTGTTGGTTGGTTGGTTGGTTTGGTTAGCTTGTCGCTTTCTGTTTTATATCCCACATATGACTGAAATCATGTTTCTTGTCCTTTTCCGTCTGACTTAATTCACTTAGTATGATGTTTTCAAGATCCATCCATGTTGTCGTAAATGGCAGTATTTCATCTTTTCTTATGACAGAATAGTATTCCATTGTGTGCATGTATCACATCTTCTTTATCCAATCATCTAACAAAGGACACTTTGGTTGTTTCCATGTCTTGGCTATTGCAAATAGTGCTTCAATGAACATAGGGGTGCATATATCTTTCCAAATAAATGCTTTCGAATTTTGGGGGTAGATACCTAGAAGAGGGGTTGATGGATCATATAGTAACTCTTTTTTTAATTTTTTGAGGAAACTTTCCATAGTGGCTGAACCTATTTATATTCCCACCAAGCAGTGTATGAGGGTTCCTTTTCATCCACAGCCTTTCCAACACTAGTTATTACTCATCTTGTTGATAACAGCCATTCTAACAAGTGTGAGATGGTATCTCAGTGTGTGTGTGTGTGTGTGTGTGTGTGTGTGTGTGTGTGTGTGTGCGCCATTTCAAATTCCAGGTGGTACAGAATTCGGGATAGAACAAAGACTGAAGAACACACTTAGGATCTTAGGATTCTGGGCTGGATTTCCTCTGACCTCACAGCTCAGGTTGAAATGGCTGAGTGAGAAGAAGTAAAAAGATGAGCCACTGCATCTAGTTGCTGGGGGTGGCAGGGGTGGCAGTGGGCGGGGCACAGCCCACCATCCATGTGGGAATTGAACCAGCAACCTTGTTGTTCAGAGCACATGCTCTAACCAACTGAGCCATCCGGCCGCCCTCATTGTGATTTTGATTTGCATTTCCCCTATAGCTAGGGAGGCTGAGCATCTTTTCATATATCTGTTGGCCATTTGTATGTCTTTATCGGAGAAGTGTCTGTTCAGGTCCTCTGCCCATTTTTTAATTGGATTGTTTGTTTTTGTTGTTGTTGAGTTGTATGAGTGCTTTATATATTTTGGATATTAGGCTCTTATAGGCAGTATCATTTGCAAATATCTTCTCCCATTCAGTTGGTTGTCTTTTTGTTTTGTTGATGGTTTCTTTCACTGTGCAGAAGCTTTTTAGTTTGATGTAGTCCCATTAATTTATTTTTGCTTTTACTTCCCTTTCCTTTGGAGTCAAGTTCACAAAAACCTCTCTGGGACCAAAATCCATAAGTTTAGTACCTATGTTGTCGTCTATGTATTTTATTGTTTCAGGTCTTATATTCAAGTCTTTAATCCATTTTGAGTTAATTTTTGTGTATGGTGTCAGATAGCAGTCTAGTTTCACTCTTTTGCATGTGGCTTTCCAATTTTCCCAACACCATTTATTGAAGAAGCTTTCCTTTCTCCATTGTGTGTTTTTGGCTCCTTCGCCGAAAATTAGTTACTCATATATGTATGGGTTTATTTTTGGGCTCTCAATTCTGTTCCATTGGGCTATGTGTCTGTTTTTCTGCCAATACCATACAGTTTTATTATTGTTAATTTGTAGTACAAGTTGAAGTCAGGGAGTGTGGTACCTTCTTTTTTCTCAGGGTTGCTTTGGCTATTCAGGGTCTTTTTTTGGTTCTGTACAAATTTGATGATTTTTTTGTTCTATTTCTTTGAAAAAGGCCATTGGGATTTTGATGGGGATTGCATTAAATGTGTATATTGCTTTAGGTAATGTGGCCATTTTAACTGTGTTTATTCTTGCAATACATGAATACGGAATATCTTTCCACTTCTTTGTGTCTTCTTCAATTTCTTTCTACCATGTCTTGTAGTTTTCAGTGTATAGGTCCTTCACTTCCTTTGTTAAGTTTATTCCTGGTTATCTTATCCTTTCTGTTGCAATTGCAAATGGGATTGTCTTCTTCATTTCTTTCTCTGAAATTTCATTGTTAGTATATGGGAACACAATGGATTTTTGTATGTTGATTTTGTATCCTCCAACTTTGCTGTATTTGTTTATTGTTTCTAAGAGTCTGGCCCCATTTTTTATTATTTTTTTTACAGTGGTGATAGTTTCACAACTTTGTACATTTATTTAAAATCATGGAAGTGTACACTTAAAATGAATAGATTTTATGGCATAGAAATTATATCTCAATAAAGCTGTTTTTAGAAGTCAGGTCTTTCGGGGCCGGCCGAGTGGCGCGTTGGTTAAGAGCTAGCTTAGGATGTCAAAGGGCCCCGGTTCGGATCCCACATATGAGGGCCAGTGCCACTGCCCTCTACAGCTAAGATGCTGAACAACAGCTCAACCTGGAGCTGGGCTGC